TATAATGATTATGGTCGTATAATGATGCTTATGTCTTGGTTCTTTACAAATTTGCAAAATGACTGGAAACTAGTACTCATAACTTATAAGCATTTGAAGCCCTTGCCATGATTTATTTTTCTTTCTTAGTATGATGATTTATAGATTAAGTGCCAATGACAAATTAATTTTCTTAGCTCATCTTTGGTAACTAAATTTCTCGGCAGAAAATAAGGAATGTATTACAATCGAAAAGAATATCTTAGTCAGACAGCTATGTTACCAACATGGCACCCCTGCAATGTGCCAAAATGACGATAGTGATCTTTACATTCTCACATTTCTTACGCTAATTTGTTTCATACTGTAGTATCTGTAAAAAAGTACTGTTTTCATGTTTTGTTTATATCGTTGAATCTATATATGTGCATTAACTTAATCTTTTGGTTTATTTAGGAAAGTAAACAGAAAAATAAAGTTAAGATAATGCAGAAAAGTGTTTGAATTTTATTTTTGCAAGATGAAGTTATTATGAGTGAAAGATAAATGAGGGCTGACATTTCCAAGATTCTAAATTAAATTTTTCATTAAAATGTATAGTAAGTTATCTCAATCACGTCACAAGCAGCTTACTATGAATATGAAATAACGCCACAAATAAGTCATCAGCTAACTATTTAACGCTTCAGTGCTTCAACTGCTGCCATTACCTCTTCAAAATCTCTTCAATTTGCAATAGAGCAGCTGATCACAAATTATTTTCTTCTTAATGCTTTTGCATTCGCGCATTAGTTGCTTGCTTATTGTTTGTTACTTTTTATTGGGTTAAACTTTTATCATTTTTATGCAAATCTTTCATGTTTTGCAGAGTACTTATGACCTTAACATTTTTGTTAAAAATTTTAAAATTAGATTAAATTTATGCTGTAAGTAATTTAGTGCTAAAATCTGTTTCATATATAAGGAATTGAAAGAATAGAATGTGATGACTTCAAGTATACATGAAGATATTTTAAAAATATGTACTGAACTATAGCATTAATACTAAAAATGTGAAAGTCGAACCTAATCATTCTTGGAGATAAATAATCACTGCATCAATACTTTCGAACATAATCACGGCATTAATAAATTGAGAAATTACTCATGACTCTGAACAATTTGTTTAGTTCCATACACAAGTGTTAACTCTACAAAGTTGATATCATCAGCCAAACATCATCAACCTGGTATGCTTTTCTTGTGCAGTTTGGGTAGCACTAAAGTAAACCTCATTAATAACTGCCTTGAAAAAATGTATCACTAATCCAATTTTTTGGTAATATTTCAGATATGTAACTGTTGCATATAATTCAAATCTTAATTTTTGAAGCTTACATTTATTTCAATAAAGAAGCAAAGAAAATTTCCCACATTTAGAAGAGTGTGTTTAAAATTTTCGTTAAGAGTTTTTCCGATATTTTAGGAGAAAAATTCACATCAAATCAATGCGCAATTTGATTTGCTAGAAGAAGGTGACCAGATGGAATGGCTTAGTGACCGTCGTGCAGCTAATTTTCGTGAACGTCGACGAATGTGTAGCATCAACATCGCTTTTATGGTAATTTTAAAAGTAATTGAAAAAAAGTTACAATTTTTACTACATGTATCATTCAATATATTTTGAAAAAATCTGTTTTGTTGAAGGAAATTCAAAAGGATCAATCATTTGGTTTCAAAAATCATAAAACAGACATTTATGGCTAAATTTTGCACAATCCACTACCTTTTTTTCCTCTGATTTCGTTATATCTATCCATTAAATAAAGAGTTGCTGTTGAATTACTCTTACCAAGGAATTGTATAAGAGAAGATGACGAATATATGGTGAATTATTGAAGTTCGTTGCCACTTTTTATACTTGAGTATCAAAAGTAACTGAAATTCTCCTCTACTACATTTGGTATGTTTTCTTTGCAGAGATTACGGAGATATATCCCCACATTTCCGTACGAAAAACGTTTATCGAAAATAGATACACTGAATTTAGCAATTGCATATATCTCACTTCTTGAGGGCTTACTGAACAGTGACAACATGCATATCTACCTAGAAGAAGCGTTAGCAATGGCACGATCTCGAAATTCTCAAGCACCTTCTTGGAGTACAAGTGGTTCGTTTACTTCTCTATTAATACGTATGAATGAACTTTTACTATATTTATATGCTGGACTTTTAAGACTTGAAATCAATCCATTTCAGATTTGTTAGCACGTCTCAGTTGGATTAATTGGAAAAAATTGGGAATTCAACCACTGAGCTAGTTAAAATTGAAATCTTTTATCAAATAAAAAGTGACAAATAATGGGTACTCTTTTATAATAAAGATATTATGGATTTTGTGCTTTTCCACCAAATACCTGTTCAACACCTGTCAAAATCGCATTCAAACTAAATGGATCATCGGGATTAGTACAACGTGATCCAATCAAAGAATCCTAGAAAAGCAATTTTTTCGTAAAAATACGAACCAAAAAGAAAAAGAAAAAGAAAAATGTTTTGTTATTTTACACTTACTTGCTTGTAACCACACAAACATTGACAAGTACCAAAGCGACATTCCGAAAAATTTGGACATTGTCTGCTAGTAACACATCTCTCAGAGAGATTTACACGCTGTACACATTTATCCATGACAGCTATTTCATTAATTCCACAAGTTTTTTCGCAAGTTGCAAATCGGCCATCATTACTCTGAAAAACTTTCTGAATATAGAACTAAAGTTTAATTGCTAAATATGCGGAATGCCTAAACTGCGTTGTTGCGATGAAAACTATTAATAATAGTTTTATATGCACAAATACTAAAATTTAGTGACCAAGCTCTACCATTATACTTTCTAAAACATCTCACCGACAGCAGCGTTTTTCACAATACTGTAGACAACCACAACAATAACATCATTGCTCGGAATGCGGACCTTTTGTTGAACCATTATTGCTCAGAAAATCCACCAAAACTCTAAAATCACCTTATCAAGCCTATGTCATTTTAGATATGTAGCTTAACTGATATTTTTTACTAATAGTATATTTATATATATTTATAAATATTTGAATCGCAGTTAACATCAGCAATTTTAAATTCATATTATGTTTTCTGAAGAAAGGACAGAATGATCAATCATTCACTGCACTGTTGTTCGAATTTTTAATCTAAATGAGAATTTTTAATTTCAAAAATTTCTTCATTTCATCTTTCAGTCTTTATTTTTAAGTACTTTGGAAGGTGTCAATAAAAAATGTATTATATGCATAATTTATCACATTTAAATAAATTCAAAAATAAGACCAGTCAGTCCCACTTCATTTTTCCTTTTGATTGCTTTTTTTTGAAAAGAGTTGCTGATGTGTATAATAACACAATATTTTGTAGCATTAAATTGCGCTTCATAAGTATTTGATTACTTCTTGTTTTACAAAAGTGTTTAAAATAATAATTAACTTTGCCCCTGTTATTATGACAATAGGAAAAACGTTAACTCTATATCACCAATGTAACCTGAGCTTTCATCATCCACAAATTAATCTTTCGTAAATAAAAAATAGAGTTAGAAATGAAGCAAGAGCAAATGTGAATAAGCCTTATGTACAAAATCAGCAAAAATATAATAATAATCACTATAAAATGGATTAGTCTTGTCAAAGAATAATTTGGTACAGAAAAGATCAAATTCATATACATAATCTAGAGATATAAATATATCGCAACAACAGCAGTTAAGGCACAACGCGTTTCCCTACCTTCTTATTTTACAATAACAATGGCGTGAATATCTAAAAAAATTTACAAATTAATTTTAATGTCTTTATAATAGGAATAGATGGAGACAACTTTGATGATAAATGCAAAAATATAACTTACTGAGTGAAAACCAGCTTTACACTTGCAAAGTCCCAAAATACAACTCATTGTTACACCGCCTTCACACTTAAATAAATGAATGATTTCAATTTTAAAAACAGCATTTTTTTAATGAGTGAAAATTTACCAAAGAGTAATCTCTTCTCAAGATATGTTACTGAAGAAAAACGTATTCTATAGATTCCTTAATTTAAATGAAAAGATGAAATTTTACGTATAGTGATGATATGGACATAGCATTTGTGAAATCTCATAGAAATAACTTAATACTTTGAACATTAACGACTAACCTGATAATCGAGTTGACATGGATCATCTCTATGTGCTATGCTTAAACACTGATTATTAATGAAAATTGGGGTAGGATCACGACATGGTTTTGGACAGCATAAACTAGTTTTCCAACCCGGCTCTGAGATTGTGTAACAATGATGAGTAAGTGGACGACAACGGTATTTTTCAGGGACTCCCATGTCACATGACTGGCTTAAATTTTTACGAATCAACATTGATTATATCAATTCGTACTGAAATAAAGAATAATAAAATCTTTCATCATTCTTATGTAGTACTAAGAAAGGTGATAAACGTGTACGTTAGATCAGGCTCTCCATATGGGCATTTTAATTTACAACAATGCCCAACGTATGGACTACCATAGGTCACACATCGATATCCTAAAGGACAGCTATCAGTAGATGCAGCATTTTCTAGCATATCAATATCATTGATAAAAAGACGCCGACAAGCATTCCGAGGTTGCGTTCCATCTGGGCACACTGAAAGGCCTTATTCATGTTAAAAAAAAATGAAGAAAAATCTGTTTTTATAACTTACTGCATTGGTAGAGGATAACAAGTCTTCATTACTAGTTTTAAAAATCACAAGCATAATTAGTTAGAAAGAAGAAAAAGTCTTTCACAACTTAAGTAATATAATTTCAATAAACTTTACATATAAAATGGATTTTGAAGGTTAGCAATTTTTTGATGGAGAAAATGATGATAATTTAAAATAACTAGTCACTCTAGTGATGAACTTAGCAAAAGCATAATTTCACGAAGCTTACGTGCAAAGCATTGTTGTCTAGCAACATCACGAGTGGTGCCAGGGGCACATTGGCAAATTCCTCCGATGCATGCATTAAAAACGTCCACACATTGACTATCTTTTTCACAACTTTGTCCCCAGTGTACCACCCGTTGACACTCAACCCCATAAAGTTGCTGACCCGATGGACAAGCTGAAAATCATCCTTAATATAATCTTCAAATAAGTAAGACGGCTTCGTTAATTTCTCATTTTGCAAACTTTACCAAATCAAACTCTGCACGAAAAATAACAAGAACTTACACACAACACATTTTCCATTAATTATACTGCCTCCCCAGCATTCACATTTTCCATCTCTACAAAGCAGTGGTGGTTTGCAATCCCTCTGACAAGTGTCACCAATTTTGCTTGGAGCTAAAAGAAGTTATGGATACATAATTTAAGTTTATGGATAATGGAAATTAAACTTTGTCGGCATGGTAAAAACTGAAGATTCAAAAATAACAAAGTTAAGAAAGGATGTGAGTAATCTATGAAAGAAAAATGCAAGTGCGGATTTTATGGTCAATTTCTATTTTGTATTCCATAACTTAATGACTGCTTTTAGAAGGTTTAAGTGTTAAAGAAACTTTGAAAATGGTACTATACATGTAAATGAATCATTACCCAATCTGCATATCGTTGTTTGTGCATCAATATCAAATTCTTCAAAATTTGTTGGGCATGTACATCGCTGTTCCCGGCAAACGCTATTCGTTCCATAACAATCCTCATCAAACAGACACTTATTACCGATTAGCTTCTCTACAAAACAATCTATTCAATTCCTACATGCATTCTTAAAAAGCAAATCTTTCTTCCAGAGTCATTTTAGAGCTCACACAATGAAGTACTCAATTAAAATAATCTAAAAATAGCAAAATGTTGCAATCTTAAACATGATAAAATTTTTTCACAAACAAATATTTAAAAATAAATTAATTAAAATGGCATAATTAGTGGTTACAGTAAGTAAGTGAATAAACTTCACATTAACTAAACCTTATGAAGTTGTAAGATAACTTACGTGTACAAGGCACGTCAAAAGTATAGAAATGCTCAACAAGGTAAAGTAAAGATACTGTTATAACATTCAAATGGTACATCGCCAAGTGAATTCAGTGAAATCAATCGTTTTGACCTATTTGAGTGTGGTGTATGCATGAGTGGTATGGGTGGGAGTGTGGTGATGGAAATGTCGTAAAAATAAAGAAGGTTTAGATCAATGGACGATGATTTATTTGACGATGGCAAGTTCTTTTCTAGTTATTCATGAACATACACATGCAGGCATGCACACACAAGATTCACAGTACAATTACCGCAGATGATCTACTCATATTTAATTGATGCAAATGTGTCAGTATTATTCATTTCATTCAGCAAAGTATTACATAATTAAGTTTAAAGTTATAAATAATAGCAGTTTTTTAATTATAGATATTTAAATTATTTGTTTTCAAAACGTAAGTAATTAAGAAAGCAGTCAAAGGTATCGCTTACACGTGCTACCCAAATAACAAATTTATTGGCCCTTCAAGTTATAAGCATGATTCTTTAACTTGAACGTACTTCTAAATAAGCAATTCTGGACTCACTATTCAATACCGCATTTAAGGCTGCTCTTTCATGAGTATTACAAGTCATTGTCAATAACCTTCACCACACTCGAAATACTACTTCTATTCATTAATAATGTAGATAATTGAAAAGCGTAGTCTTCAAATATTGACGTGTGATAACAATGCTTTCAGTAATTCATTATTAAAATATAGTTGGTAATATGTCAATCAACAAAGCAAGATTAAATTATTTTATTTATTACACTGTATAAAAATACAATTACGAAATTTAAATAAGAAACTAATCTGCATTCCACATCACAAGATCATTTTCAAACGTGATGCCCGGACGATCATAATGATAGAATAATTATAGTAATGATAATTTACAAAGCTAATAATCTTAAGACGAACAATAACGATAACGATTATTTCAGTTTTGTTTTCTTGCTTTGATGGTTGATGGTTAGAAAGAAGAAAATGAGCAACTTTTGTGGAAGCATCTACTTTCAGTAATCAACGATTAAATGAAACAAATTACCAAACTAACTTCTATATATTATTTTAAAAAGGTAGTTAAAAGTTGTTATTATATAAACGAAGTTATATTTTCAAAGACAGCCACAAAAACTATAGATCACCATCTCATGACTAGATATAGGTTTGTTTCAGCAATACAATGATGAGTTATTTGTAGGAAAATTAAGATGACTGATTATTAATAAAAAATCTAAGCTGATAATTAATATTTTTTTAAATGCGAACTGAAGTTTGTGGGTACTCATCAAAATACTGTCAACTGACAAACACACACAATAATAATACCACAGAAAATGACAAAAATAAAATGATATTAAATATTTAAACAAATAAAATTAATTCATCAAATTAAATTAACAAACGAGTATATGATTCTCTTCTTTTTTTGTATTTCTACAACTATTAACAGAACAGCAAGCAAGTAATTTAGGCAAAATGAAATTGAGTGTGCAATATTTTTGAAATTTCTTCGAGTTTACTATAAAAACTTGTTATAAGTTAAGTTAATAGTAAGATCACAAAATAAATATTGGAAGATACATCCGCTTGCTCTATGGAGCGATACGCCTTCCATTACTGACTAATCCATGCAGTTGCCTATATTAATTATTGATAATAAATTTTTATTTGAATTCTGTAGTAATATAAGATTAATTCAAGGATTTTATGGTAGTAAGTGTTAATTTTTCTTTACTAATTACAGTTTGCCAAAGACTGTTTCATAGTAGCTTTACAGTTGCTTATTTTTCTCCTTACGAAAGGTTAAAAAAAATCTTATAATTTTTTAATTTGCACATTTAATGGCTATGATTAACTAGCGGTTATGTCTGACTTTTGTTAATATTAACTTAATTAAAAGGAAAAATTAAACAAAGGAAAGAACAGCGGTAGGCAGCAATTAATTAGACCTCAGAAACATTTTGAAAAAAAAAAAGAAATGAAGTATTGTCACAGCAATATTGAGTGAAACTATGAACGCTGAAATTTAACTCGAAATAATATTCTAGAATCGAATGACTGAAACTCACAATGATTGCATTAACAATAATTTTTGAATATATCTTTCATTTCTTCTGAAATTCTAGATTTTATGCAATTACTAATTTGTGCGGTTTCAAAATGGCAAAAGCAGCCATAATGTTCTTGTGATTAAGAATTAAATAGTTGGTTTTAGTGGGAGCTAAAATATTGGAAAATTTGATGACTGGATAAGTTTAAAATATACAATCAAATCTGAAGCAAACGACAACAGAAACAGTACTGACTCAAGTGGATATTAACATGAAAAATTTTAGTATTTGATTTGAAATGATTAGAAAGGAAGTGTTACTGAGGAAAGTAATAAGTGAATGGTAACAATGCTCTGAGTCTTACGTTGACGATACTAAATTGTAATAGAAACAAAGAAGCAGAATACAGGAAAGGCCAACAGTTACGAAAGATTCGCAACGAAGGCTCAGAGCCACATCAGAACAATTTATGATCGCATACATTAAGAGATTCCCATGAAAAAAGCAGTGGAACTTCTTATGCTTCACGATAGTAAAATTCGCTGCTAACAATATTTAAGAAAAGGAAATAAAAATGGATGCAAATGTCGCTAACTGTTAGTAAATTAACCTATTTTAAAGTTCTGAAAATACTCGAGTGATTCCCTACTTCACTATACATCATGCATTTTTCCTTCTTTATTATCGCAATATTTGTTCCATAAAGTTTTGGCAAGTTCATAACAGGGTAATTCTCCAGCATGTGTTGCAACCATTCGTAGCAAAAACACACCATCTTGTCTGAGGAAGTGAAAAACGAAACGTCGTAATGATTGACTGTCAACCATTTTATAGCCTTCAATACCTGTCAAATACTTTCCGACAAAATTTAATTGCCTGAAATAAGAAGTGAATAAAATATGAAATTGATATAGCAAATACATATTAGCTATTTAAAATATCAATTTTCCTAGTGATTCATTACAGAAGGTATGGTTTTGAAGAAGCCAAGAAAACATTTATGTTAGATAATGGTAGAAGATGGCGCAGCAAATCTTATCTTTAGTGCAATTAAAATCATAACGAAAAAAATACAAGCCTGCTAGGGACAATAGAAATATATATCCAATATAAAAGTGAACAAACAGTGGCACCAGCGAGCAGAAAATACCAAAACCATAAAAAGAGAAATATTTTTTCATTAAACATATTTATCATGAGGACGCATTGAACGGTATGCCGATGAACATTTCCAAGCACCTGAAAATCCCAAAAAACTATATGCATATGAGAAGCATAAGATTTTGTAAATATAATTTGATAAAATTATGTTAAACTATATTTGGATTCCATAAAAAGCAACCACGATTCTGCTAAGTCAAAGTTTGATATACTTGATACTAGACAAACTTAAAAAACAACGAATCCATTACTAGCAAGCACTGTGTATATCACTTTAATAGTAGGTAACTACTTCTTCTGCTTTTATGCATAATGTTAATTTTTCATTTTTGAGTGATGGATAAGATGAAACATTCAGGCTAAAAGAACAAACTTTTAGAATGTATAGCGAAAATATTAATTACGATTTAGAAAAAGTAATAAGCTTCTCACTTAAAAAATGAATACAAAGAATTTGATTCATTCTCTTTTTTGATATACACAATGCAATGCAATGCATTTAAATCAACAACAACACCTTGCATTCCATACATCCATTTTGATTGTGTCTTAGATGATCTTACTGACATCATATTAAACATACGTTTAACAAATATTATATTAAATTAATAATTTAAAATATGATTACTTACTTTGACCTCAAAATCGCATAGTGTGACACGAGGAAAATGACCAGATTCTTCCCATTCTCGTCCATTCATTAAATCATTTAGCACCTGCCGGACAAATCTTATTATTTCACCAAGTTATTACGATTAATAATGTAAAAACTAACATGTTATTCCCATGATTACATTTTCTCACTATGAATATTATATGTCAATCTCTTAGAAAGCATATATCTTAAATCATACAGACGAAAAGTAATGAATAGCAGTGGTTTATTTTTTTCTTCATTGAACATTCTAACCTTTCCATTAAAAGATAATTTCATTACTAATTTTAAGTGAACAAGCTGATTATTATTTTTTTTCAAAGATTAAAAAACTGAAGGTTAACAAAGCTTTTAAGATTTCTTACATGATGGTTGGTTTCAATCAAAAATAAAAACGATCAAAAATTTGATAAACATAACTAGACGCAAGACATTTATAATTATGTCTTTAAGTGTTTAACCATCTAAGTCACAAAAAAAGCTCTTAAAGCTAACCTGTAATCCGTACCATTTGCTACGATTGCCCAAAAATGTATTGAGTAAGAAAATTTGTCCAACGATATTTACCGTATACAAAATTTTCACCGAAATATACAAAAATGTGACGGCAGCACCACTGCTGCGAGTACAAATGATCAAATTTAACAATTTCAATCGATTTCCACCCATATGAAAATCAAAAATAAATAATTTAATGATATTTATTCTTTTAATCCAACCAATTTATTCAGAAAAATTGTTGATAATAATGTCGAATTACTCAAAACGAGTGTAGAAATTAAGAGGTTGATGCAAAGTAAATGAGAGAAAACACAAACCACTTGATGCTTCACATGAAGTGCCTCCTCGACATTTGTAGCAATCGTTTGCAAGGCTCTATTTCTAGAATCCAAATCCAATAAGCGCGAATCACAAGCCATTTGTACCAATGATTGTACATGAATACCTATTGGTAATTTCTTTCACTAGTTCTTACAAAATATTCTTTTTACAAAACTGAAAATTTTCGGACCTCAAGGACTATGAAGAATAATTTACTCATAATGTGTTTCTAAGAAACATTAGTAATGAAGTTATAGTGTCAAAGAAGGATCAATAAAGACCTTCATTATCTTCATACTACAAAAGGATGAAAAAAAATATTACGGATATAAGCAAACCGATTTCACTTGAGCCATGGTTTGAAAATTAAAATTTTTAGCTATTATTGCGCAATAAACTTAGAAGAAACCTGACTGCCAACTGAGTAACCTCCAAACGATAGTTGGTACATAGAAAAGAAGTGCTTCCAAGGCAAGTACGAATGGTACCCACTGATAATATCCAATTTGTCTATTTTCTCTTTCGGCATAATTATGAGGGATATAATCGTGTAAAGGTAAAAAATATGTATTTTGCACCCAACAATAATTTTCCGTATATTGCTCCATCGGTTCTGTAAACGTTGCTGGTACCCAACACTGAATCGGGAAACCTGTATGTGTTGTTAAATGTTACGATAACATCACAACAATACTGTGATAATTACATAGAAGTTACAAGATGTTAAGCAGTCATTTTTGAAAACAGTTATTCTTTTAGTAAACACTCAAACATATAATCATTTGCTAATACTGATAAATATCTACATAGAGAATTATGATCAGTAATACAATACATTAAACGAGTTTAACAGCTTCATAACTGAATTTAAGAATCTCGAAAGTATTACGGAATGAATAACTTACCGACATATTGCTTAGCGGAGACAAGAATCGCAAACACTGAAATGCACATCAAAAATTAAAAGTTCAAATATGAAATGAAAGTCATATGTTCGATAAGCTACTCGCATATAGTGACAGAAAGTTTCTTTAGAATTTCGTTTTTTATTAAAAATAAACAACTTAAAAAAATAATTACCACTTTTTCCTTTTCAGAACTTCTATGTCCAATATAAAAGATAACTAATTACTTTAAATACACAATATACTAGTTGTTTACTGTGTATTTAAAGTAATTAGTTACTGTCTTAACTGTCTAGTTCAATGCATTTACGTGCAGCATATTAAATTGTTATCATAATCTAATTAGATCTGGGTAAATTAGCCACAGAGCAAACTATAGGTCAAATTTCCTCAGAAGAGTATTACTCAATATAATCACTGCACAAACAACTTATAAAAAATAAAATTTAGAAGTGAGAAAAATCTGAAGTTGTAAACAAATATAAGAATGAGAAACAAAAAATTTATAAATTTAAAATGATTTTATAACTACTAAGACTAATACCTAATACTAGTAACTCTATTCAGAAATAAAAAGTAACTTATTGCTTTCTTACAATCTTTTTGTCAGTTCTGTAAGAAAGAATCTTTGAATAACTGATCAAAAATTATAAGAGCAGCATAAGGACTATATAGAAAACAGATACAAAATGAATCAAAAATAGAGGTTAATAATCGAATACAGATGTAATGATCATTGAAATCAAATTTTTATCGAGAAATAAATTATGCACTGAAGTCAGTCTTGCAAAATCTGTAACAAATTTTATGCTATTTTTGTTGTGTAATCAGAACTAACAATTAATAATAAAAATGTTTTTAGATGATAAATAAAATATTAAAAATTACCAATAATGACTGAAGTGGTGTAGTAATAGTTAAGTTTATCAATGATATCATCATCTACATGAAATTGTATTGACTTTACAGCGCTAGCAAAATAATACAAGAGCATCGCCCCTTCACAAGCCTCCGAACCACGAACTGTTGTTCTTTACTAATTATTAACTTTTCTTCAGCATTACACCATCTTCATGCTCCAATGCTCCATAATCTACAAATTTCTGACAAAAGTAAACATATCCTGAAAATGAAATCCCAAGTAACCAGTAATTCGAAGTCCGCATAAAAATACTCTCATAACTTTTAGATCAAATTTGTTTTTCTTTTATCTATACTGATCAAGAACTGATAATCTCACATGTCTAAATGATATCGCAGAATCATGACAATCCTTTCTAATCATGCAAAATTTGGCATGCCAAATATTAAATGAATAAAAATGTGCAGGATTTGATATTAGATGACCCTCAAAAATAGCATATTAAAAAAATAAATTCTCGAATAAACTTCATCTTATGACATTAAATTAACTCCTTATTTCAGTAGCTATTGAATGCATAAAATATAAAATTTTATAAAAGCTAAAAAAAGAAATTTCAATAAATTGCAAGGTGTTTCTATATCTTCTGTGTTCATTCTTTCAAAAAATAACACAATGGATGCAGTCTCAGTCAAAACTCCTCTACTCACTCAGTTCTTTGTAAGTAATGCAAAAAGCTTGCTCGAAAGATCTAACGAGGAGAAAATATATTTTTAAACTGGGATAAAGATAAAAAAAGATAGCGAGTACATCCTGCTTCAAATCAACAATTTGTTTTGAAGAAAAAAAATTGTTCGATAACTGACAACAATTCTTGAAAACTGTGAAACTAATACAAAGAACTAAAACATTTAGGGACAGATGAAGTTAATTAACTAGGATTCAAAATCACGTAGTAGGATTATCCGACAGATGAGTTAAGGATAACTCAAGGAACTGCAATAGAAAAGTTTATTTTTATGTATCATTCCAATGGTGTACTTCAAAAATTAGTAAATATTTTCAATAGTTATCGATTTATTGAATTTTTATTTGGAATTCACCAAATCTGACAATGAAAAAAAATTTATGTCAAATATAAACCTCAGAAATGTTCCTCGCCACTTCGTTAAAATTTCGATGCGACAAATATGTTTTTAACAATTATGAGTTCATTTTTTAACAAACATTATGACAAATGGCTTCTAATTTCGTTCTCTGCAAAGCTTTACATATAATAATGTATGTCATATCTTAATGGAAAAAAAATTCTGAATCGATTCATGTTATAGACAAGTTTGTGACAAGCTTTATAAGCTGATTTTAAAAGTCAAACAGAGGTAAAGGTCTTGAAGATAAAAGGGCAAGAGAAACATGGAAATTAACCAAAGTCCACTTAAAATCCAACGTCTAACAAGTGCGATCATTTTTTATAACAAGAAGCACTGTGCGAAACATATGGTTTAACAAGCGTTATGTAAAACATGTGGCTTTATAAAACAATTCATTCCTTAGTTTATGCACTTAATAATTCATCAACTTCGAAGTATGAACTTTGAAAATCTTGAGATTTTTTTTTGACGAATGAACACTTTTGATGCTTTTAACTATCATACAATTTGTCATTCCTGAAATTTTTTAAGATACTATAAGTTCACAGCACACACTCACAAACTTTGAAAAGCATACCATCTGAAAGAATATCATTATTCAGTGCTGTAATCCAAAAATTTTCATTGATGAAAAGGTACAAGTAACCTCTAGGCTGGTATTTTTCTTACCATTAAAGAAAAAGTCTGCAAACTACAAATTATTATATAGTTAACCAATCTCACAGTTCTTTTTATCTCCCAACAGTTATAACTAATACTAAATTTGTTTTAGAATATTTTTCCGCAATCAAAAATTTTGTCGAGACAAAACAAGAAGAAATAAAAAATAAGAGATAAATATGATGTAGAAAACTGTTAAAAATTATGACCTCTGGACATTAAAATGATGTTTATCTCATGCATAGCACTGCATTCACTTGAGTTAATTTAAGGTAAAGGTGATGGTAGGAAATGGAGATAAGAAGCACAGTGATAGCGAAAAAAAAAAGGCAAAAAGATGACGAAATATTTGAAAAAAGTAAGAAAGAGGTATGTAATTAAATAGCAAAAATGTTTTTATTTACACATTGAGTAATAATCACAAAGAATTTGAGAAGGCTACAAAAAAGAACCAAAAAGATAGAGTTGTGAAAAAAGAAGGGAGGTAAGGATAGGCAAATCAGTGGAAGCTAGTGGATGAAAGTAGGGAATGCGAGGAATAATGAGCCATGAACGTGAGACAAGAACAAGTAAGCCTAGCGATTCCTTGAATCCATTGAAAAGGGTTCGCTCATTCCACGCCACGCTACATCGATCCAACGTAAATGTTACCGCCGCTTTCTTCTGAGTCTAGTACTATGCTAGCTCAGTTTTATAACAGCAACAGCAAACATAACTTGACTGCTTGCTTCACTTCTTAGCTTGCTGTTTAAAATTGAAATTGTGCATTGCATCTACGCTGCAACTAGCAAGTAAGCGATTCCTTGGCCGTAGCCGAACTTACGCTCTACTTACTTTGTATTTTTATCATAAACTTCCTCTTCCTTCCAAGCTTTTGTTTTTGTGTTTGCTGCTTGTTGTAGCTTTACTTTTTATCCTTCGTATTGCGTCTCTTCAAAACAGCCCTTTTCTTCACCAACTGCCCTTATTCTGGCCAGTCCATTTCCATGCTTGCTTACCCTATTCTTTTCTAAGCTTCCTCTTCAGCTAATATTAAAATGAGCGATGCAAAGTAAAATCGAGAAGCAAGTTAGACTTTACCGCCTGCTTGCCTTGCTTTATTTATATATTTATTTGCCTATCTGTCTATTTATCTATCTGTCCATCAGTAGATAGATTTGTCCTCATATCTATCTGCCAATCAATCAATCAATCAATCATTTATTCAATCTAGATCAATCTGTCAAGCTAGCTTAGTCAGTTAATCAATCACCCTTGTTTCTCAGCAATTTTACTCGAAGTTACACATATCTCTTTGCAGATATTATTTTTCATTTAACTCAACACATTCTTTGCATATACATATGCACATTCAAATATTGCGACAAAACAAACAGTATTATTTAGATGAGTGACGGCACTAAATGTTCTAACATTACTCATCAAGTTGAAAAAAGTCCTCCCTGCTTCCTGTGTTGGGTTGACAGACTGATTTGGAATGATTAATATCTAGCCTTTTATTTATTGATTTAGTGAGACATTCGCCATTAATTACTCAGGGAACAGTGTAACTGCAGAATTGTTTGCTGCTGTATACTCTTATTTCAAGAGGAATGTTCTGGAGTAGTGAGAATTCAATTTTTTTGTCTTTTGTATAAATAATTAATGACTAATCTTTTTTGCTTTTTTGGATAGACTAGAGTAAACTTTCATCTCATGTTCTGCTTGTTAGGCAATGACAGCAGTATAAAATAGCTGTGGTCAAACTGTCTGCCGCATTTCACATCCGGTCAGAAACAATATTAAACGGTGCACCAACTTCATTATTGAGAAAAACTGTGCTATAGGTACATAAGTGGAAGTAAACTAGTGAAAATAAAATCGGTGGTTAATGATGTCTTTCATTTCAAATAAAGCATTTCATGCTACCGATGAATGATCGATCTGACCAGAAACAATATAAAATCATTCGTTGGCTGCTTGACAGCATCTGATACATCTATTCTTTCAGCTGATGGTGTATACAAAAAAATAACCATGAATGAATTTACATTTAATGCTCAAATCGTTTGCTGAAATTTGGTGTGCAATATTCATATACATCAGAATTTAGAGTTACACTCGATTTTATATATTTATTTCCTTGGTGAAATGATGAGACATAAAATGCTGTTGTCCACAAGATGACATTTGTTATCTTAAGATTTAAATGAATTTTTGATCTAGCTTTCTGTCCACGATTCTGAACAAATGTCTGTTTCGAAAATATCGAGAATTAATATGCTCTGAATATTTCTTGCATATGCATTGCTCTCCATCAAAATTAAACTGAACATTCTCATTCAGTTTCTGACTTTTTACTTACTAACATTATTCGGTATTTTCTGTTATGAAGCAATAATCAATGAAAATTTTGATTTCACGTGATTCATATATTGTTAATGGCACTGATATTGTTAATATTGTTGCTCGCGTTGTTTTCTCAAGGTCGGTAAAGAAGTCGATGGATGACAATGCATTGTAAAAACTTACATGACTTGACAGCCATAGTAATCCACATTAAGCAGATTAGGTCGGGGCAATTTTGAGTGAAAATACCGAAATGAAAGTTACTGAATTAAACATGGTGAACCAATGCAAAATTTCACCAAAAATGTTCAACAGTCAAACTTCACGAAATTTTAGAAATTAAAACCAGTTGATCATTTTAATCCTAGTATAATTAGAGCTATAATTTCTAGAAAATAATTTCTTAGTTGGAGATAATGGGACATCCATCTGTATTAAATTAGGATGCTTCTCGATAGAGGTTAAACGCAGACCTTGGTATCACCAGCATACATTTTTTCTCAAAACTTATCCTTAGGTTAAACTTAGCCAATTTACTCGTCAGATGTTTATATGAGCAACTATTTTCTTTAAGTTACAAAAATCGTGATCGAAAAATCAAGAAATCGAACTCCGGAAACGTTACTTTATACTTGATAATTTTTGGATGTGATGCGAACAGTGAATTGATACAGTCCCTAAAGCATTGAAGAATGTTCGAGAAAATGTGTGGCTAAAAGAAGATGAATGCAGAATGCTAAAGATAATTCTTGCTCTATGCTGCCGCATTTACTTCTTTTCTTCTAACATTATCGTCTAGAGGAACAGTGATACAGTTTGACACTGAAAGGGAATCAAATTGCTCTCACAGAGTACTGGAAAACTAAGACGCTTTTCACTCAAAGTCCAACTTTTTGCGATTCGATTGTTCGATTCAATTTAATTATTGAAGAAAATACACATAGCATTTATATAGGTATAGTAATATTCATATTAATTATATTTGTATTTATA